GAATATTGAATTAGTATGTGTCATGCCTAGGCATATGATATGAAATGTACTAAATTCTTTAGAATATGATATAACCGTATGAAGTCGACGGTCATCCTTTGTTCCTACAATTTTAATAGAGATCTAGGAATTCATATGCTTTGAATAACATCACAATTAAAAGAGAATCATTAGGAAATATATATTATTTATACTCATAAACCCAAAATGTTATCGAGTAGGATAATTGTTATCGATTAGGATAATAGAGATCTAGGAAATATTATTTATTATATTTATCTAATTTTATTTAAGTGATTGAATCTCCACAACATCAATTTTTATCGAGTAGGATAATTGTTGTAATTTTAATAGATAATAATATTATTTGAAAGGAATGCATATTACTTGATTCGTCATATATACTTGTGTATATTAATTGAGATTTTAATAATATTTTATATCAAAAAAATCTAAGTATTGTTAGAGATTGATAGAGTCATAAATTATTTTATAATTCTATAGGTTACTCCACAGCTCCCATCAATTACTTGCTTAGCTTTGTAAGCTCATTATATGATTTTTATTAATTTCCAGTATGGGAAGGGTTCAAGACCCTCAAGAGTAAGGATGATTAGTGCTTTATTTATATGTTTTGTTATATTCTTTTTGAAGTTAGAAGTTTTAGTAAAGATAGATTAATGATATTGTTAAAATCTCTTGACTGTTGTATATTATATTTTAACCGAATAAATATATAACTATTTTTATGCATATAAGTTATAGTTTCTTTTGTTGAATTTATTCAAAATAATAAATATTTAGTTTATGTGTCAATTATATACCCAACCTAAAAAATTCAAGTTCGGATCAACTCGTTTAACACAGCTCACATTTACGTTCCAATTTATGACTCATTTGAAAAATTGGGTCATGTCTAAGTCAACCTACTAACTCAATTTTGACCAAAGTTTTGGCTGCCCACTTGAGTTCTCACATTCGCACTTGCACAAACATACGCGCTTTGGGCACCCACAGCTTGACCTTGCAGGCTGGGTCCCTGCACCCATGTTCAAACTAGGCATTCACATTCATGTTGCATAGCTCATGCTCGTGCCTATCCCTCGCCCTCAAATCAGAGCTCGCCCCCTAGCCTGTGCCCTCACTTGCATGCTGCCTGCTCGTAACCCAGGTTAGCGTGTTAGGTCGGGTCAATATGATAACCCGAGGTGTTTACCTTCACACGTGCCTGAAAAATACAGCTCAAATCCCACTGAAATATTCGCTGTTCGGCACCACTCGGGTCCCATTCTGAAAATTCTATGATTCCCCCTCAATCAAGCCTCCATTATTTTTGTTAAAACAAGATCAACCATAGCCTTCGGCTCTTCTCTTCGACACGCAGAAACCCCCACTCTAATCTCTAGCTCTCGTCATTTCTTCTTAAACCTCCAGCAATGGACGATCAAGCTGACCCCATGTTTGTACTCCTAGGCCGAACGGAGCCCGACAAGTTCCCCTGTCACTTGTGCATGATTTCCTTCCATACAGTCGATCATACAGTCGACCGCTCCTGTAGCCTCTGACTCCTACCTCACAATCTCTCTATCCACGATCAAACCCAATGTCTGACCCAACTCCTACATGCACAAGAGCCGCACGACCTACTTAATCTGATCGACCCAGCCTTTGAACCCACACCCAGCAGCCGACTTTCGCTCGACTAGCTATGAAGTGTGCTCGACCACTTGCTCGATCGTCTGCGTTATGTGCTCGGTCAGCTGTTCGACTTCAATCGGGTTAGCAGGTCGATTCAGAGTCTAAATTTCTAATACGTTTGTCTAATCAAGCTGAGTTCGGGTCAGGTAAGTTGAAGGTGAGTCAGTTTCAGATTAGACCCAAATTTGCCCCTAAAATCTATTTTGACACTTCTTGAAATTACTTTCTACAATAATAATAATAAAAATTTTATACAACATTTTTATAAAATAGTAAGAACAATGTCAAATTGAAGCTTATGTTATATTTCTGATAATAACTTCACAATCATCTTTATAAAACACAACAATGATCCAAGACCTTAAATTATTGTGATATACAAAACTTATCTCAAAAAATTATAAGGTGGACTAGATCCCATATGATTTTGACACATTTTTTGCTGCAAAATAAAAGACTAATATTTGTTAAGAAATTATTTAAATTAAATATTTCTTTTTTGGTGGAGCTAAATTTGATAAAATTAAAATTATTAAGTTCAACATTGGCTTATTTGAGACATTGAAAAAAAATTAAATTTTTTTTATTTAAGACAGATCACCGTTCGTAACACATGGAATTTCGTACAAATAACAGTGGACTGCGGTCCATCACTCCGCACGTTAGCTGAGAGAGTCGCTCCTGTAATCCTATCCCTCTTTGCACAAATGTAAATGTACACTTGTCAAAAAGAACGATCAAGTCCAATGCGAACGCTTCTGCTGTCTGCTGTTCTATGCCAATACGAACGATCCCACAAAGTGGCGCGAAAAGAATACATAAAGGCATAACGCCGGAAGCATCGAATAAAGTTAGAATCAATTCCTAACCCCTCAAATAATTACTCGATACGAACCTCTGAATGACGACCATCGGCAGCTGGGGAAGAGCGGGAGCCATCGGCGGATAGTGGAAAAGTTGGGGGCGATGGGGAATTATAAATGCTGCTTCTGCTTCACGCGGCGGTTTACATCGAGCTCGGCGGAGCCACCGGCCGACGTGAAGAATACGTTCGCGGTTTACGCAGAGGATGGTGTGGCGATGTCGCCGGAGCAGCTCCGGCGGTTCCTAGCCGACAGGCAGGGTGAGTTGGCTACGGCCGCAGACGCGGCGGACCGGATCATAGAGAGGATTAGGGAAATGCGGCATCGGCATCATCCGATGAAATTCTCTAGGCCGCAACTCTCGGTTGATGAATTTTTCCATTATTTGTTCTCCGGCGAGCTTAATCCTGCCATCCGATCTCAGGTTGGTTCTTTCCTTGGATGTGATTTGGATGTATTGTTTTGGTTGGTTTTGCTTGAATTGTTTGAGATTGGGAGTTGGGCGTTGGATTTCGGCGTTTGCTCGGGGATGCTGAAGATGATAATTGGGGTGGTCTTGGAATGCGAAAATTTTTTAGGCTTGGTTGGATGATGCATCTGTTGAACTGTTGAGAAATTTTTTTTCCTTGGCAATCTGGATAAAGAAGGATTTTTGTTTTGTTTTGTTTGGATAAAGTGTTTTGTATTCATCATCAGTGGGTCAGGTTTTGACCCAAAATGACCGTTATATTTGTTTAAAAATTTAGACCCGATTGCCATATGTCATGTTTATAACTTATAAAAATTGCTATATTTTTTAACACTAAAAAAAAAAAAAAGTGATCGGAGAAAACTGAAAAAAAAGTACGAATTCATTTATTGTTGTTAGAAAATTCTAAAAAAAATGATATTATTATTCTATTTTTGTCGTGAGTGTTAACAGCAAAAATATAAAATAATGTTATAATTAATTTGACATATATATGCTCATAGTATTAAAGATGGATAAGCTACCATGGAGAAGAGTAAATTTTATTATTTGTTCTTTTTTTTATTGATGATAATTTGGCATATATATGTTTTATGTGGAATCTGATTGTATCGATCAATTGGATTGTACTACTATTTCGGACCTCAATTCAGTATGTTGGGCTCACTGGGGTATTGTAGGGAGTTCTGCGCATACTTGGGTTTGGGTGCTTTGCACATGATTTTTTTTTTCATTGCAGCGCCCCGATGCTGTGTATCCGAGCACCCCGACACTGCATAGTTTGGTGAAAAAGATAGATTCATCGGCACGACAATGCTGCAAGGGGGGGCTGTGGTGCTCTAGACACTAGCGCTGCGGAACTTTCATATAGACATGAGAATTAAGAGCTGCAGAGCTCCAACTTGGCACCGCTGCTCTACAAGGCTTAGATAGCAATTTTTTTTTTTCGTTTTTCATTAAAAGTTGCGTCACTTGGTGGTTGTTGTGTATCTCTTTGTTTGTTCTTGTGTAAGAACGGTGCTAAAGAGAAGAGAGACAAGAAGAGAGTGGGAAAGAAGAAATAGCTATACTATTCATCCCAATTTTCACAGTGGATTTCTTGGTATGGTGTGGTTCAATTTTTTCATGTTAAATCTTGGTGTTCTTTTCTTTCCGTTGCAATTTTCTATTTCTTGTTTGTTTCGTTGCGAATTTTACTTCTCCCTAATAGGTAGTTCCTTTTTCTCTGTTTACGTTTGTTTTCGGATAAAATCAAAATCTTCAAGGACAATTTTCTTAGCATTTTAAACTCACAAGAAAGATTTAATTTCTGTCTAATTTGATAATTCTTTGTTTTCTCCAAATTTTAACTCTTTAATTATGAGATCTTCTATCTTAAGCTGGACTCTTTTAGCACCATACAGGTTTAACTTCTGTTAAGAGTTTCTTACCAAAGTGTGTATAGTGTAGTCTTCCTTTATGCTTCCTGCTGAAAGTTCCTTAAACCTGATAATAAAGAAAATTACAATGGCCTTGCTACGGACAGCAGATCCAAATTTTAAAATGATTATTACTCAGTGACTTGCAAACAATATGTTGAGAAATGATACGCTAACAAATATTTCCAGGAATTATAATCAATAAGATGCTAATAGTCTATCTACCAAAATGCAGATTCTCAGTATTGTAAGATGGTGTTAGCTTGTCTACTTAGGTCATTACTATGTATATATGTGTTCTAAGCCTCGATTATCATAATATTTAAGTTTTGTTCTGTGCTGGCTAAAATTGTCATCACCTGAAACTAGTTTTTGTGTTTGTCAATACTTCAGGTTCACCAAGATATGACGGCACCCTTATCCCATTATTTCATATATACTAGTCATAATTCATACTTGAAAGGGAACCAACTCAGTAGCGACTCCAGTGATGTTCCTATAATCAAAGCATTGCAGCGAGGTGTTAGGGTAATTGAACTGGATATGTGGCCAAATTCCAAAAAGGATGATATTGATATTGTCCATGGAAGGTACGTAATGAGATTATATTCCTTTATTGGTTTATTCAGTGTTTGATATTCCATTCTTTCTTATAAATACCTTGTTGTCTTTTTTAGATACTAGCATTAAAATGATTACTGTTGATCGAAGGAAAGTTTGGTAGTTATTTGAAATCTTGGTATCCAACTGCAAGAAAGCTATATTTACACCATTGAAGAGCAGTTATTTAACAAAAATTTTTATTTGGTGTGAGCCTGAAATTAGGGACGATATTTTTTCATGAAAAGTTATATACAAATTTGAAAGGAATAGAAAATTATATGATAGAAAGTTTTAGAAATGGAGTCATGATAAGCACTCATTTGGTTGCATGTAGACTAAAGCTTCGTTTGGTTATCCGATGTTTTTTGTAAAAGGTAATTTAAAAACTTTATTTGAGATAATGGAGATTTCTAATGGAGAAGCCTATACTAAAAAGCTTCTAAAAACAGGATAAAAATGAAGATTCGTAAAAAGTAGTTTACAAAAGTGTCACATACAAACAACAACCTAAAAATAACTTTGTCATTTCGAAACAGAAAAGACAAAATTAAGCCGTCTCAAACGAGGCCTAAAACATGTTTTACAAAATAATCAACTTTGTTAGATTATATTCTTTGCTTGGCTATAAGCAGAATCGACATAGATTTTAAACCATACTATCTGGTTGAATTTTGGTGATAATGAACTAAAATTCTCAATGAACCAAGAAGTATTTAAAAAACTAGAATTCAAAGCACAACCATCCATATAAAGACTTTCAAATTCATTATGTAAAACTAAAACCAACCTAACTAACAAAAAAGTTTTAACATGTTATGTCGGTTATGATGTTAAAGCAAACTCCATTCCCACCATTAAAACCGATGTATGATACTAAATGCAAATCACTTTGTTATTTATTAAATATCATAACAAAATAGGATATAATAATGTTTTTATTTGCTCCATCCTATTTATAAAACAAGACATCTGGATTTTGTGAGCGTGCAGGGTATTCTTCTCTCTTTAGTTGGTTTTTAGTTAAAGAATAATTTTGTAGCTAATGTTCTGTTGTCAATATAGGTCGAATTTTATCAGGCATTAGTACAACGCGTTCTTAAAAGTTAATTTTATGCCACTAGAATTACTTATTTTAATCAACAATCACATGTGCATTAGAGAAGGGATGTCCAAAATATGATTTTACATCATCAGGTGTTTCTTTGTGTAAATAAATTGGGCAAGGTTTTACATTATGTTAGGCATTTTATGCATGCATTGATGGTTTAAGGCACACCAAAAGAGGGGTTGAATTGGTTGTGGAACTCAAATATAGTTTATAATAAATTAGTAATCAAATCAATATGAAAGATAACTTAATATAATTTATATAAATAATAAATACTAAATTAATAATTAGAAAATAAATCCAACTGAATAATAAAATTTTTATATAAACATAAAATAATATAAAAATATAATTTAAGTCAATTTCAATTATGTATTAAGTATCCCTTAAATGGAGGAATGCATTGGGCTTGTTGTGTGATAGAAAAGTACCCCTCAAACTTATGGGAAAATTCTATAAGATGGTGGTGAGACTTGCAATGCTTTATGGCGTAAAATGTTGGCCATTAAAAGAGAATCATAAAATTATCTTTAAGTGTTGAAGAGATAAGGATTGAGATAATGGTTTGATGTTGTTGTTGTTGTTAACGTTGCGGAGATGAGGATGCTTAGGTGGATGAGTGACTTTATATTTGGATATAAATGGGAAACAAGTATATACATGAAAAGGTTTGGAGTAGCACCAGTGGCAAATAAGAAAGAGTTGCCTTAGATGATTTGGTCACATAAAACGTCGGCCTTATGACCCGCTTAGGAGATTAGATATATTAGATCTAGCATATGCTAATAAAGGTAGAGTTAGACCTTTAAAGACTTGATTAGAAAGTATATAAATGACTTTTATTAGATTTAAATGAATATTTGACTCTTTATAGAACACAATGAAGAAAAAAGGGCCATGTAGTCTACCCCATGTAGTAGGATAATAGTAGGATAATAGCTTATATTGTTCTTGTTATTGTTTTTTGTATTTATTATCCCTTAAATGTTATAGTATAAACATAAACTAAATTATATTAGGGGTGTCAAAATCAGGTCACAGGTTGGGTTGAACCTGGAATTGACCCGGCAATATTCGGGTCAACCCGAACCCGACCAATTTTTGTAAATGGGTCAATTTTTCAGACCCGAACTTGACTTGTTTTGGGTCAACCTGACCAGACTCGTAAGATTGTCGTCAGGTTTCTGTTTGCGCGCTTATTCGCTTATGGCGCGGCAGCGGCGCGACTGGTGGCAATAGGTGACCTGCGGCAGGCGACTCTGGCATGCAGGAAAGGACTCGGGCAGATGCGGCAGGCGACACGGGCAGGCAACTCGCACAGATGCGGTAGGCTATGCGGGCAAGTGACTCGGGCAATCGTGCAGGTGACTCGGGCAACACAGACGGACCGCCTATTCCGGGTCATTTCCGGGTTTCCGGATCAACTCGAACCCGATCCAATTTTTGAAATGGGTCGATTTGTGAACTCGAACCTAACCCGTTTCAAAAACGGGTTGATCCTAACCCATAACTATCAGGTTGAGTTCAAGTTGGGTTTTCGGGTTGTGTCAAATATTGACACCCCTAAATTATATGATGAAATACTTAAAACATGCACTATATTATTTCATGGACTTTTTCACTTTGCCTGCTTGAAATATCTAGATTCATCATTTAAAATTCAACCTCAAACTGCAAAGGCTCCAAGTGCCTAGTAGAATAAGTCATTATCGTGTAACTAATATTTGTTGTTAAAGCTATAGAAACAATTGGCAAAACATTAGATGACATCTCATTAAGGTTTGTTGTCACTAAATCACACTAATGAATGATGCATAGGTCACAAAAGTAGGATTAACAATCTACTTCTATTTGATGATGACAAATTAATTATGATTTGAAGGGATAAAAATACTAACAATTCGTAAAATTAAATTCCTCATTAGATGCATAAAGGAAATGCAAAATCTACCACCTTAATATATGTATCTAAGCAACATCATTTATGATAAACACCAACATATTATTACTTCCACTTTCATATCAACGAAAAGGGCTTTTTATAAAATATAAGTTGGTGTAACCAGTAATAATATTCTCCTATTAAATATAATATTTTTTAACAAAAATTGTTTATAAAAGACTAATTAAGCAAATAATTGAATAATTCGTATGATACAAGATCCAAACTTTATCTCCAACTTTAAAAATTAAATACCATGCTATAATATTAATTATTAATGATTGTATTTTAAAATTAAAGTGTTAAATTTAAAAAAATTAAATAATCTATAATCGCTTCATGATATAATTTGTAAAAGATTTTTTTAACTATAGTAGAAATTGGATGCGACAAACTAATCAATTGTTAGATAGTCATTTTAAATTCACTGAAATAGTTGATTATTTATCATGATATTAAATGAACTGTTCATCTATACAATGAAACATGATATAAGACAGAATTTGTTTTAGCATGAGTTTTAATAGATCAACATAAAATATATAAATCTTATTAAAACAAAGCACAATTATAAAACATGAATTACATGATATTTACATAATAAATTACCAGTCATGCTTTAGAAAAAAAAATTATGCATTTCTATAATAGAGGATTAAATGCATAATATAGGTTTTTTTTGGCATGCATAGAATTAAACTAATATTATGACCAAAATATAAAACATGGAAATACTTCGAATTACTCCAAACCAATATCTTGCCTTCATTTATCAACCATAAAGACAAAACAACTTATTTGATTTTGGTAGCTAAGCATAGTTGGGTCTACTAATATTAGTATTTAATTTATAAAAGTATTTAACAAATAATTGAATATCACCACACAGAGATTGGCATATATGAGTTATATGGGCTCATAAAATTAACATGCATTGAAATCTTTCTTATTTATAAAATTAACACTCAAGTGTTTGACAGGAACTAGCAAATTTAAAGATTTGTATGTGATATGATAAAATCATTAAAAATTTAACATTATTGAGAATGAAAATTGGTAGCATTATTGAGAATGAAAATTGGAATTTTTGTTCTGCTTTTCAATATTTGAGTGATGTGTAAATATCATTCTTTAGGTGGTATGGTACAAATATAATTTTTTTGTTTTAGGAAGTTTCTAAATGGAATGAGTGGCTTATATTTACCTAGAGTGAGGAAAAGAATAATGAAACATGAAAAGAAATAATACAAATAAGATTGTGCATATTCTGTAATGCCACCATGACAGATTCCTCTACAACAAACACACGCTTTTCTTCTTGTGACTTAGGCTTCGTTTGGGACGACTTTTTTATTGCTTCTTAAAGTAGCTTTCTAGTACAAATATTTTAGTTTTTGTATTAGAAAAATGCTTTAAGAAGCAGTAAAAAAGCCGTCCCAAACGAAACCTTAATTGAATGTTTCCTTCCCGTGCTTCTTCAAATATTTATTAAAATAAAAATTGTCAAATATCCTCTTAAAATCTTGAAAAACATTTCTTTTAATCTAGTTGCTTGCTTCATTTTCTTTTGTAACTCTTCTACCTTTTAGCTTATTTAAATCCCTTAAAATTTTATTGTTAATATTTGATTGACACTGTTTGATTGATAGGTCACTATATTATTAGCTGTTATTAGATCACTATATGAGTAGCTGTTATTAGTTAGACTTTCATACTTCTATTGAACCATCTCTTATTTTATGCTGCTTTACTCTACCTGAAGGACACTGACTTCTCCAGTACCACTCATCAAATGTTTGAGATCTATCAAAGAGCATGCATTCACGGCTTCTCCATACCCAGTTGTAATAACTCTAGAGGACCATTTGACTTCAGATCTGCAAGCTAAAGTGGCCGAGGTGGCACTAGTAAAAAAATGGAAATTTCTTTGCTTCCTCTCAATGTTCTAGTTTAATTTTTCACATGCATTCTAATCAGATGGTCACTCAAACATTTGGAGATATGCTTTATTATCCTAAAAGTGAATCCATGGAGGAACTCCCTTCTCCAGAAGCTCTAACAAGAAGAATCATTCTGTCAACGAAACCTCCAAAAGAGTACCTTGAAGCTAAGAGTCAAAAGGTCAAGGAGACTGGATCTCAGAAAAGAAAGGAAACAGTTGAGGAAGATTCATGGGGAAAGGAGGTCACTGATTTTACAGACGAACTCCATTATGATAACAAGGTGAAATACTACAATGAGTTAAAACTTTTGCAGTGTTCTTTAGTTCTTTAGCTTATTTCTCTAAGATAAATATTTGTGTGCTGCTGCAGGATGAGCAGGACCAAGATGATGAAGATGGCGATGATGATGGTGGTGCTGATGATGATGATAGCAAATTTGGGCAGAGTGCAGCCCCGGAATACAAAAAACTAATTACCCTAAGGGCTGGCAAACCAAAGGGTCGTTTAGTCCATGCACTTAGGGGGGACCCTGATAAAGTTAGACGCCTTAGTTTGAGCGAGCAACAGCTTGAAAAGTTGGCAGCATCCCATGGAACTGAAATAGTTAGGTGATTCTCCTTCATAAAATTCATTCTCTTCAACTTAGCATGTAGTTAGTGTTATGTGTGAAATCTGATTATGTTGATCAATCGGGTTGTTATGTTACATTGGGCCTCAAGTTTGTCATGCTTGCTGGGGGTATGGGAGGTTTACCTCCTGCTTAGTTCGGGTGCTTTGCACTAGGATTTTTTTTCGTAAGTCCTGGATGAGAAAAGTGGAGGATTTCGTTAGGTTGTCAACAACCAGCGTAAAACTTGTCGAATAATCATAACATGAATCATTTAAAAAATTATGTTAATGCTAGGGCGTCCCCTGTAAGCGACGGGTTGCATGACCTAAATACAGCTAAAAGTGTGCAAGGGCCACTGCACCGGTGCTCGGGTGTAGTGTTAAAATAGGCAAGGTTCTTACATCAAGGACGAATGTGAGAAAATAAGCTAGTCCATGAAACTAAAATTAGATTAAGAACTTGGAATATATGCTCCCTTACAAGTAAATTAATGGAATTAATAGATATTATGATTCATATGAAGATAAATATTCTGTGCATTCAGGAAACTAAATGGATTTGAGAGAAGGCTAGAGAAATTGATAGTTTAGGATATAAACTTTGATATTTGGGTAGGAGTCATACTAGAAAGGGTGTATGTGTGATTATATATAAGAGTTTGAAAGATAAAAACAAAAAAAGGACAAGAAATAATTTTTATTGGAGGAGATTAAAATGGACATGTTGGTAGAGAGGTAGATAATTTTAAAAACATCATGGTGACCATATATATATATATATTAGCTTATGATTTTTTAATAGCTAATACCTTATTTAAAAAAAGAGATGAGCATCTTATCACGTATAAAAATGGATATAGTAAAACACGGATTAATTATTTTCTTATAAGACAATTAGATCGTTTAGATTGCAAAGATTATAAAGTTATTCTGAGTGAAAATTTATGTATCCAACATCGATTATTAGTTTTGGACTTTAAGATAATGGAGAAAAAAAAGTAAAAAAGATTTTTTAGAATTAGATGGGGGCATTTAAAAAATATTAATAGATATATTTTTTAGAGTAAGATTTTAAATTTTAAGATTTTGCCTGTGCATGAGGTTGCTAATGTTATGTGAAAAAAAGTAGCTAGTAATATTAAGAATATTATAAAAGATATGCTTAGAGTTTCAAGAGAAAAGCTCCTAATAGTAAAAATAGTTGGTGGTGGAATCCAAATGTATAAAAAAAGATAAAAAATAAGAAGATTTGTTATAAAAATTGATTTAGATGTAAAAATTATGATAATTGAGAAAGCTATAAAGAAGCTTGTAAGGAATCTAAGGGCATCTCCAACCGAAAAACTCATTTTTCACTCCAAAATGCAGTAACTTGACTCCAATCGAACTTCATTTTCTAACATACAAAAAAGGAATATTCCTAGCATATTCTTTTTCTTATTTTATTTTAAATTTTTTTAATCATATATTTTTATTTATCAATTTTAAACCTATTAAAATTTTAAAAATTATGTTTGTTTTCTCGATATAAAAAATTTGGGATATTAATATGTTCTAAATAAGCAAATATATATTTGATATAATTAAAATTACATTAGAAGACATAAATGAAAAAAAAAATACAATAGCAACTAAACATTAGAATTAGTATATTGATCCCACAAATGCTCAATTAATGCATTTCGTAGTGCGAAGTGGGCATCTTTACTCCTGATTTGTTTATGACGAGCGATAAATTCTTGAAACTGAGTATTTTCATCCACCACTAATTCGACATCTGGGGATGGCGCTTCTCTCGCAACTTGAATATGTCCAGTGAGACTGCGTTCATCTTCGATTATCATGTTATGCAAAATTATACATGTAGTTATTATATCATGCAACACATCTTTGCTCCAAAAACGAACTGGTCCAGCCACAATTGCAAAACGAGATTGGAGAGCTCCAAAAGCACGTTCCACGTCTTTTCTACATGCTTCCTGTTTCATTGCAAAATATTGTTTCTTTGGAGTACGTGGTTCCCGAATAGTTTGCACAATGGTGGCCCATTTCGGATATATATTATCAGCCAAATAATAACCCATGTTATATTCTTTTCCTTGAATGATGTAACGGCAAGGAGGAGCTATGCCTTGAGTAAGATTAGAGAATAGGTGAGAAGATTCTAATACATTTATATCACGACAGCGCATGGGTGGAGTTTATCCGGAGAGTATGTGGTGAGACCTGCAATGCTTTATGGTGCCAAATGTTGGCCATTAAAAGAGAATCATAATATTAAGTTAAGTGTTGCAGAGATGAGGATGCTTAGGTGGATGAGTGGCTTTACCCTTAGAGATATGATACGAAATGAGCATATAAGTGAAAATGTTGGATTAGCTCCAGTGGAAGATAAGATTAGAGAGAATCGCCTTAGATGGTTTGGTCACATTAAATGGAGGCCTTCTGATGACCTGGTTAGGAAAGTTTAAGTATTAGATTTGACTTATGTTAAGAAAGGTAGAGGTAGATCTAAAAAGACTTGGTTAGAAAATATTAGAAATAATTTTTTTTTATTAAATTTAAATGAGAATTTGATTTTTAACATGACACAATCGCAAAAAAGGATTCATGTAGTCGACCCCACGTAGTGGGACAAAGGCTTGATGTTGTTGTTGTACAAAGCCTTTGTGCAATGTACTTGGTTCCCCTACATTGTGTTTTTGAGCACCCCAACGTTGATCGACTTAGAGCAAGCCACATTGCTTTGGATTCGGTGCAGCAATGCTACAAGTTCGTCCCCAGCATAAATGAATTTGCTCTGGATTCTCCTCGGTGCAATGTACTTGGATTCAGTGCAGCATTGCGAGTTTGAGCACTGTAGCTTCATCATACAGAGACTTGAGCACCACAATGCCCCAAACTGGTGTCGCAGCGCTGCGAGATGGACTGGACAATTTTCTTTCTCATTTTTCTAAAGGGCTGCGTCCCTTGGTGGTTATTTTCTTGGCTTTCTCTTGTATTTTTATAGAGTTAGACAAGGAGAATTGTGCATTGAGAAGAGAAGCAAGGATAGGGTGAGAGAGAAGAGAGATTTGTACTTATTTCTCCCAATTTTTATAGTGGATTTCTTGGTGTGGTGTGACTCCGTGGTTTTTTTTTCTATTTTGAATTTTTCTGCATTAAATCTTAATGTCTTTTATTTTTCGTTGCTTTTACTTTCTTGCTTGTTTCATCATTGTGGTGTTTACTCATCTCCAACAACTGGTATCAGAGCGAGGTTGTTCAGTTCTAGTGGGAGTAATGGCGGATGAAGCAAGGTATAAGGTTAAGAAGTTCAACGGTTCATACTTCGTATTCTGGAGGATGAAAATTGAAGATTTATTGTATCAAAAGTTGTATTTACTGCTGGAAGAAATCACTAAGAAGACATTCTATAATGAGGAGTGGGAGGTTCTTGAATGGACTGCACTAGGTTTGATACGACTTTCACTTTTCTCATATGTTACATTCAACATTGTAAATGAGAAGACTACAGTCAATCTTATGGTTGCACAAACTAAGATGTATGGGAAGTTATCGTCCTCAAATAACCTAAAGATTGTGACTAGTTAATTGTGTTTTGTTGGCATCAATTTTGATGATGAGGTGAGGGCATTGTTGTTGTTATTATTACTATGAGTAACACTTCCAGAAGTTCAAAGCTAAACTTTGAGGACATTGTGGAGTTAGGGCTTAATAAAGATGTTCACAGGTGGGCGAATGGTGAATCTTCAAATTTTGTTCTAAGTGTTGAAGCAAGAGGAAGGGTTTTAGAGAGAAATTCAAATAGAGAGAGATCTAAACCCAAGAGAGGAAAGTCTACTTCATGTAAAGGAAAAGTTGTGTGCTAGAGCTGTGGAAAGAAGCACTTGAAGGATTATACAGTTCCAAAGAAGGGCAGTGGTGGAGGTCCAGACAAGAGTCATTCTGCAAATGTATCTGTAGAAGAGTATCAGTCAGATTATTTGATTTTATCTCCGAACAATTATGAATCTTGCGTTATAGATTCAAGTGCTTCTTTTCATACAAGTACAAACAAGGAGGCATTCAAGAACTATACTCAAGGGGATTTGGATAAAGTGTATCTTGGGGACAACAAGCCCTGCAACATTGTTGGACAGGGAGATGTTGATATCAGAATGTCGGATGGGTTAATTTGGAGACTCAAGAATGTTAGGCACGTTCCTTTTCTAAAGAGGAGTTTAATTTTTTTTAGTCAGCTTGCAAACTCAGGTTGTAGGAGATACATGGAAGGTGATAAAAATGGCTATGGTTATAACTCGTGGCAGTATTGAAGGCACTTTGTATGTTATCAATAGATAAATGGATTCTATTAGAATAACAAATTTAGATGTTGATGGAGAACTTTGGCATAAAAGATTTGGTTATATGAGTAAGGAAGATATGCATTCATTTCTTACTATAGGAAAACTTCATGGTTTAAAATTTATAAATTTAGATTTTTGTGAAGACTGTATATATGACAAGCAACATAAGGTGAGTTTTTCAAATACTGGTTCAAAGGTCAAGTCAAAGAAGTTAAAGTTAGTGCATACTGATGTATGGGGTCCTGCTCCAGTTACTTCTATAGGAAGATATTTATATTTTGTTACATTTATTGATGATCACAATAGGAAAATATAGGTGTACTTCTTAAAACATAAGTCAAATGTGTTTGATGCTTTTAAGAAGTGGAAGGACAAAGGCCATGGTTGAGCTTGAGACAAATTTGTAGCTCAAGTGTCTCAGATTATATAATGGTGGTAAGTATTGTGATTAAAAGTTCAAGGAATATTGTGTTTTGAATGGGATCATACATTAGTTCATTGTTCCAAGAACACTATAGTAGAATGGTGTTGCGAGCGCATGAATAGAATTATTATTAAGCATGTCGAGAGCATGATGTTACATTCTGGTTTATCTAAGTAGTTCTAGGCAGAGGCAGTGAATACTGCAGTTTATCTAATAAATTATGGTCCTCCAGTTCTTCTGGATGAGGGGTTACCTGAGCAAGACTGGAATGAAAATGAGGTTAGTATATCCCACCTCAAAGTTTTTGGTTATTCATTTTATGTTCATGTTGATGCAGGATCTAAGAGTAATCTTGATCCAAAATCTATTAAATGTACATTTATTGTATATGGCTAAGATGAATTTGATTATAAATTCTGGGATTATCAAAATCTGAAATTCATCAAAAGCAGGGATATTAAATTTAATGAAAGTGAAATGTATAAGGATAAAAATGATACTATTGAAGATTCTTCCAAATATGTTGAGATAAAGGATGATGATGATCAAGAAGGCAAAGTTGATGAAGTACAGAGAGTACCTCAGACATTTACTACTGAAATTAGGAGATCTAGTAGAATCTCAAGGCTAGCACAAAGGTATTCTCCTTGTAGTATCTATTGTTGATAGGTAGTGGTGAACCAGAGTGCTATGATGATTCAAAGAAGTGGGAGCAAACCATAGATGATAAGATGCGTTCACTTGAGTTGAATTAGACTTGCGGGTTGACAAAACTATCAGATAGCAAAAAAGCACTGTAGAAAAAGTGTGTTTACAAGCTGAAAGAAGAATCTGATGGCAGCAAGCGCTACAAAGCTAGGTTTGTAGTTAAAAGTTTTCAACAGAAGGAAGGAGTTGTTTCATTGAAATTTTTTCTCCAATGGTGAAGATGACTACAATTAGAGTTGTACTAAGCATAATTATAATTGAAGATTTACATGTAGAGCAGATGAATAGAAGGAGAACATTTCTTCATGTTGACCTTGATGAAGAGTTATATAAGATGAAATCTCAAGGATATGAAGTCATAGTTAAAGAAGATCTATTGTGTATGCTCAGGAGTAGCTTATATGGGCTGAAGCAGGCACCAAGACAGCAATATAAAAGATTTGACAGGTTTATGTAAGATAATGGGAACAAAAAGTGCCAGGTTGATCACTATTGTTGTTTCAAATATTTTGATAATTGTTATATTATTCTGCTTTTGTATATGGATGACATTTTGGTTGTAGGGTCAGATATGGAGAAGATAAAATATATGAAGGGATAGTTATTAAAGGAGTTCAAAATGAAAGATCTAGGTCCAACAAAGAAAATTCTCGGTATAAGAATTAGTGGAGATAGAATGCAGGTATACTAAAGTTATCTCAGGCCGCGTTTGTTGAAAATGTACTTCATAGATTCAACATGAGTGAGGCAGAGCTAGTTTGCACTCCCTTGGGTAGTAATTTTTAGTTATCCAAGGAATAATCGCCTAAATCTGAAGCAGAGGAACAACATATGAAGAAGACTCTGTATGCTTCAACAATTGGAAGTTTGATGTAACTATGATCTGCACAAGATTTAATATAACATATGCAATGTGAGTAGTTATGATGCACCAACATTTTTTCTCAAAGAGGTGTGCAGTGTCTGACACAATGCGCGTCTGATACGTGTCGGACACACCGAAAATATGTATAATTAAAAAAGTATCATATACAAATTAGACACGTGTTTTAAATATTTTATGAATTTTTTTTTAATATAATTTCTTATATTTAAATTTTTTATTTATTTAAAATATAAAAACTAAATTTCTTATTTAATATCCACAACACCAAATCAATCGCCTGCACTCAATACACCATTCATCGAATATTCTCATTTTCATTTCTCTTTGGTGGGTCGTAACTTTGGTTTCACAATAATGCCTGATAACATCTCAACATTGAAGTCTAACATTATTACAACATCGATATTTTAAAAATATCTCAAGATCAAAGTCTAACATTGTCTTGACATTAATGCTAGACACTAATAATTTCCACACCAACAACTTGAAAACTCATCTTTGTCTGATATCATCTTATCACGACGACCAATGCCGTCTCAACATTTACGACATATGCTGCCCTCTTGACATCGATGCCTGATACTTACTCCGTAACATCGATGCTCGACTCTCGACCATATTGTCATCTCCTCTCTCGATGCTTGATACACAATACTGATGTCCGACTCTCGACATCCTAATATTAATCATTTTAAGCATAAATTCTAGTTAAATGACTTATTATTTCTAATTTTTTTAATATTATACTTATTTAATTTTTATACACTATTTTTAAAATATAAAAATTATAATATCATGTCCAACTCGTGTATGTGCCCTATATTTTCAGTAATTGACATGTCCTATATCCGTGCTACGTCGTATTTATGTTGCCGTGTCTGTGTCTGTGCATCATAGGGGAGCGGTCAGTAGATTTATGAGTAACCCATGCAAACTGCATTGGGAGGCAGTTAAGTGGATTCTCAGGTACTTGAGAGGATCAGTTGACAAAGCTCTTTGCTTTGGTGGTGCAGGGATTGGTCTACAGGGTTATATAAATTATGATCTTGCTGGAGATCTTGATGCTAGCAAAAGCACAATAGGTTATATCTTCACTTTGGAAAAGACTGCAGTCAGTTGGGTTTCCGAGTTATAGAAGATTATTGCACTCTCAACCATAGAAGCGGAGTACATTGCTATCACTAAGGCTAGCAAGGAGATGATTTGATTGTAAAGTTTCTTGAGAGAACTTGGCAAGGGGCAAAGGAATGGGGAATTGCATAGTCATAGTGCAGCATGAGTGCTAGCCAAGAATGCTGCATTCCATGCCCGAACGAAGCACATCCAGTTTCAGTATCATTTCATGAAGTTGCTTCTGGAAGATGGTCAGTTATCTTTAGAGAAGATACACACTACCGACAATCCTATAGATATGCTGACGAAGACGGTGATAGTTGATAAACTAAAGTTATGTGTAGCTTCTGTTGGTCTTCATGGAGGATGAGAACAGGTCAAGCCACACTGCAGGTACTATGATTGATGGTGCAGATCGGAAGAATGATTTATTTTAATCAGTTTCCAAGTGGGAGATTGTTATGTGTGGAATCTGATTGTGTTGATCAATCGGGTTGTTCTGTTGCCTCAGACCTCAAGTTTGTCGTGCTTGTTGGGGGGTTTATCCCCTGCTTGCACAAAGCCCCGGCGTTGTGTACTCGAGTGCCCCGATGTTGTATTCCCGAGCGCCCCAGCTCTGATAAACATAGAGAAAAGGCCACAACGCTTTGGATTCGGGGCAGCAGCGCTACGAGTTCGGCGCTGCAACGCTGTGAGTTTGAGCGCCACAGGTCATCAGAGACTTAAACATTGTAGCGCCCCAAATTGGACAGGACTGTTTTCTTACTTGTTTTTCGAAGGGTTGCATCCCTTGGGGGTTATTTACTTGGTTTTCTCTTATATTTTTGTAGCGTTAGAGAAGGAAGACTGTGCATGTGAGAAGAGAAGCAAGGAGAGAGTGAGAGAAAAGATAGATCTGTACTTATTTCTCCCAATTTTCATAATGAATTTCTTGGTGTGATCATGTAGCTCAGTGATTTTTTTTTCCTATGCTGTATTTTTTCATATTAAATCCTAATGCCCTTTACTTTATGCTGCTTTTACTTTCTCGCTTGTTTTGTCATTGTGGTATTTATTGCTCATCCCCAACAGTTAGGAGTAAGGTTAGGCATCCAATTCACAGCTAGCAGGTTAAAGTGCTAGGCCTATTTTTTAGCATGTAATTGCACTAGATTTTGTGGAAACTTATAAAAGGCTAATCACGTCAAAATTTTCAGGTTCACTCAGAAGAATATGCTCAGGATATATCCTAAAGGTACACGTGTCACTTCCTCTAACTACAATCCAATGCTTGGATGGATGCATGGTGCTCAAATGGTTGCCCTTAATATGCAGGTAAGCTATCATGTTCAGTCTACAGACTGACAATTTCCCTGGTGTTGTTTCTCTTTGTTAATCACGCTTTCGCAATGTGTTATACCTTAATAATCTTGGATATTTCCGACTTTATAAAAATTTGAGAAGCAAAGAGTGTTTGATAATGCTATTCCTACATTTTTTGAGTTGTCAGTAAGATGAATGACACCACTTTCTAGCACTAAATGTAAAATGCTATTTTGAACTCCCACTTGGGGATATGAAGGTTTAACATTAGATATAGAGATTATTACTGATGATGGAAACATCTTAGAACTTTTTCTGATATCACAAAAATCTAGGAAAGAGAAAGTACTCGTGACTGTAGGGCTTTTGATTCATTTATTAACTACCCTGCATATAAGTACCCTAAACCCTAATTTTTGTAGTTTTTGTTTTCTTTTAGTACTTCACTTCATTGAACCCAAGCATTGGAATGGCCAAAGTTGCAATAAATCGATTGCTTGCAAGGCAACTGAACCAACATAGGAATGATTGGAAAGGCAAATGATGCAATGTCTTTTTCATTGACTTTATTATGTTCCGGATTTCAATTAAGAAATCACGATTTTCATTGTGGTTGATGCATGGATTTTCCGGATTTCAGCTAAGTTTGTTTTTTTGGGTTCTCTTCAGGGATATGGAAGGTCATTGTGGTTGATGCAAGGATTTTACAGAGCAAATGGGGGTTGTGGATATGTAAAAAAGCCTGGTTTCTTGATGAAAGGTGAACCATATGGTGAAGTATTTGATCCAAAAAGAATCTTACCTGTGAAGAAAATCTTAAAAGTAAAGCATTTCTACAAAAAAAACTTTTTGAGCTTTGTTTTGACTTTGGGGCCTCATTACCAAATCTAATTTCTCATTCTTTGCAACAGGTAAAAGTATACTTAGGTGATGGATGGCTCAAGGACTTTAAAGGGACCTACTTCGACAATTATTCCCCGCCTGACTTCTATGCAAGGGTAGGAAGCTGATTTCTAATATATTTCCTTTCTATATTTGAGGAATTCTCAAGTTTCTTCTTGACATCTTAGTAGCATGATCACTTAGGGTTCGTTTGGGACGGCTTTCTTACTGCTTCTTAAATCAACTTTCTAGTAAAAAAATTAAAATTTTTGTACTATAAAGCTACTTTATGAAGTAGAAAGAAAGCCGTCCCAAACGAAGCCTTAATGTTAGCATTTATGTCATTATGTGGTCATGCATCCTCAACTTGTAGGAAAAATAGAAACATATATGCACATATATAAAAAAATCTTAGAATGATAGGTTGGAACCTGCAACCTATGTACATTTGAGTTAAAGTAAGACATTGACCTATAGGTTGGTATAGCTGGAGTACCAGCTGATTGCATAATGAAGAAAACAAAGATTATAGAAGACGAATGGGCTCCTGTTTGGGACGAAGAGTTCGTCTTTACATTGACAGTGCCTGAACTCGCCTTGCTTCGAGTCGAGGTACACGAGTATGACATGTCTGATAAGGATGATTTCGGAGGGCAGACTTGTCTGCCAGTGTTAGAATTGAGGTCTGGAATTCGTTGTCTGCCACTTTGTGATCGCAAGGGAACCCAGTATAATTCTGTAAGGCTTCTTATGGGGTTCAGCTTCTCTTCAGAATCAGGTGCTCCTTACTATTAGAAGAATAAGGTGTTGTGTTTTTCTCTTCAATATGTTGAATTACATTGTTTTAAAATATTGTAGAAGGTTTTGGATTGGGAATATTGTATACTAATATTTGTACATATATTACCTTTCAGGTGCTAAAGATATTACTAATTTGAGCATATTGTTAGATTTTTTTAAGAAGCTCAAATGATTGTCTTTCTCTTCAGAAGTTAAAAATGCAGGGCCAGCTATGCTAGCAATTGATATGTCAAAGCAGTGAGACTTCTATTTCCCATTTTTTTTATATTTGTGATTGATATACTATAAAAAATTATATTAATTAGGCATGAATCTCCATGCATATTTGAATTTGAAACTTTTGTAATTAAATTCAGGATGATTATTTGAATTATGATTGTAGCAAATTTATAGTCGAATCGAATGTCTTGACAAGATGAGCCCAATGACATCAAAGTGGTCTAATTTGATCTTGAATAAGCTCAAATCAAAGGCCTTAAGTAGAATTTAAAACTTCAAGATATTAAAAAAAAATAAAAAAACAAACTTAAAGATATTAATTAGATGACTAAATGATCTTCAAAGTTGACATGCTTATAATCCAATTGAGTCTCGAGGAGATGAATCCAACGAACCTAAGATTGCTCAATTGTGACAATATGAAGGCTTTATGATCAAGAAAATCAATGAGATGTTCAATGTAGTGTTCCACATTTTTGTTATATTTATGGGGCATGTTTTTCAAAAGTTTATAAATAGGCCCTCAATCTTTACATATAGGGCGGTTGGACGAGTTTGGAGATGGAATTCGAATATTGGCTTGAGATTTAAGAGAGCTCTGAGACTCTCAAGACCTTGAAACACCTCCAGAGCATTACCACCAAGCCACCACTTAATTGTCATCGTCGATCCTTCACCGACCAATCACTGCATTCCTCTGACCATAGTTGCTCGAGTATGGTTCTACGACTTTCGTCTCTGTTGACTGACGACTTTGATCCTTCAACCCTGACCACCGTCACCAAACTATGATCTCAAGACCATAGTAGCCCGACTTTGGTCATTCTGAACACTATCGTTAGACTATGATTTCAAACTAGTATTGTCTGACTATGGTACTTGGATTATGATTTTTTGTCTTTTGTATCATGCTGACTAAGGTTGTTCGACCATCTTTGCCCAATTATAATCCTTATATTATAGTCTCTTGACTAATATCCTCAGACTATCGTCGCCCAAATACAATCATCTAATGGCTATTGCTAGCCTACAATCCTCCTAACCACTATTGCCTGATTATGATCCTTGGAATACTAACACTCGATAATGATCGTCGTAACACCATCACCCAAATATAATTATTTTGACCACTATCGCTCGTTGTATAAGGTCCTTTGAGCTCCAACTCCAGTCATCTACAACTCTTTCAACCTCAATCACATGCTATTTACAATCATCGGACTAGCATCATCCAACTAAAGTCTTCAAACCACCATCCCCCGACTATGAATCTCAGACCATTGAGCCCGAGTACAATCTTTTGACCACTATCACCTAACTATAATTCTTTCGATCTGTATCACCCATCAACTACGATTCTTTTGATCTCTATTGTCACGACCCAACCCGACCGGGACGGATCCCGCTCGCATCGGGTCGCGACACAGCCTTTGAAAATCCAGTATCTGGCTTTGGAATTTGCTTCAAAACTTTCTTCCAAATATAACACAGACAGAAAAACACAGAGCTACTAAAAATATCCAAATGCAGCGCAGTTCATCTATCTTTTCTTTCACCAAAATAATCATATACAAATACAATACATGGCTTACGGACAGAAAGAACATAACAGAACAGAAAAGCCATGACTGTACAAAAATCACCAGTATCAAGTACCTAATCACAGATCAGACTCTAGATCGCTAATCCACGACTTCCTTCCCTTTCCCAGAACCTGAAAACCACGTAGAAAACAAGGATGAGCTAACAGCTCAGCAAGACATTAATCACCAATCCAAATCCTCAGAAATTCACATCAGAAATGGCCGAACGAAAATCATAGAACAGATACTTGTTCAAACATAAATCAACAACAAATACAGAAAACTGAAGTCATGTTGAATCGGAGTTCAGAACAGATATCATAAAGCTTTCAAGTCACAGAATAGACAGAATCGTACTGAATAACCAGAATCGTGCATATATCGGATGATTCATAAAACAGATCAGATAAGTCACATAACATATTTCAGATATCAAACATCATATTTCGGATAACATATAACATATCAGATTTCAGATTCCCAGACCCTTACAGAATCTCGACGGATTCTGACCCCTTATGTCTCCCTTCCCTGACACTTACAGAATCTCGACGGATTCTGGCCCCTCATGTCTCTCTTCCCAGACACTTACAGAATCTCTACGGATTCTGGCCCCTTATAACTTCCTTTTGATAGCACACAAACACTTTAATTCATTCAAGAACTCAATTCAGAAAAATCAGAATTCGTACGAAATTTCAGCAGCATAACGACAATATACGGAATTTACACAAAACTCACAGATTCAGAAATTTACTAAATTACCACAGAACATTCACAACAACATTATAAGACTTTCATTGTACTAACAAAACATTTTTCAACATCCTGATAATTTGCAGTTCACTTAAAACACCGCAGAATCTAAAATATCCGGTAAAAATCTTCCAGAAAATACTCAAAACGTGCGCAATTATCATCTCAAAGACATACCAAAAGTTACGAGGTAAAAATATATTACCTTTCAGGTGCTAAAGATATTACTAATTTGAGCATATTGTTAGATTTTTTTAAGAAGCTCAAATGATTGTCTTTCTCTTCAGAAGTTAAAAATGCAGGGCCAGCTATGCTAGCAATTGATATGTCAAAGCATTGAGACTTCTAATTCCCATTTTTTTTATATTTGTGATTGATATACTATAAAAAATTATATTAATTAGGCATGAATCTTCATGCATATTTGAATTTGAAACTTCTATAATTAAATCAAGGATGATTATTTGAATTACAATTGTAGCAAATTTATAGTCGAATCGAATGTTTTGACAAGATGAGTCCGGTGACAAAAAAATGGTCTAATTCAATCTTGAATGAGCTCAAATCAAAGGCCTAATGTAGAATTAAAAACTTCAAGACATTAATTGGATGACTAAATTATCTTTAAATTTGACATGTTTATAATCCAATGCAATGTCTCGAGGAGATGAATCCAACGAGCCCAAGATTGCTCAATTGTGATAATATGAAGGCGCTTAAATGTTAAATTAACGCTTTATGATTAAGAAAATTAGCGAGCTGTTCAATGTAGTGTTCCACATTTTTGCTATATTTATGGGGCATGTTACTCAAAAGTTTATAAAGAGGCCCTCAATCTCTACATGCAGGGGAGTTGGAGGAGTTTGGAGATGGAGTTTGAATTTTGGTTTGAGATTTAAGAGAGCTCTAAGGCTCTCAGGATCTTGAAACACCTCTAGAGCATAACTGCTAAGCCTGTTATTGTCGATCCTTTACCGACCGATCACTACATTCCTCTAACCACAATTGCCCGACTATAATGTTGATCCTTCACCGGTGGACCACTATGTCTCTTTGACCACCGTTGCCGACTATGATCTTTCAACCATTATCACCTGATTCCGATCCTCGAACCACCATTACCTACCTGATTACGATCCTCGAACCATCATCACTTGACTATGGTCTTCTAACCTCTGTTGACTGGCGAATTTGATCTTTCAACCCCCGACCACCTTCACCAAACTATAATCCCAAGATCATAGTAGCTCGACTTTGGTCATTTTGACCACCATCATTAGACTATGATCTTTAGACCAACATTGCTGACTATGGTACTTATATTATATTTTTTGTCCTTTGTCTCATGCTGACTATGGTTGTTCGACCATCGTTCCCCAACTATGATCCTTAGATTAAAGTCTACTTACTACTATCCTCGAACTACCTTTGCCCAAATACAATCCTCTAATGGCTATTGCTAGACTACAGTCCTCCCAACCATCATTGCCTGATTATGATCTTTGGACTATTGACACTCAGCAATGATCTTCAAAACACCATCACCAAAACTACAATTCTTTTGACCATTGTCATTGTCGCTCGTCGACTACGGTCCTTCAAGCTCCAACTCCTATCGGCTATGATCGTTTCAACCTCAATCACATGTTGTTGGACCATCATCTTCCAATTACAGCCTTCATACCACCATCCCCTGACTATGGACCTCGGACCATCGAGCCCGACTACGATCTTTTGACCACTATTGCTTGACTATAATTCTTTCGACTTGTATCTCCCATAAATTACGGTTCTTTCGATTTCTATCGCTCATCAACTACGATTCTTAGATCTCTATCTCCCGATTGTGGTCCTTAGACCTCAATCTCCTAACTATGGTCCTCATACCAACATCGCCTGACTACGATCTCTTTGACCATCACCGATTGATCACAGCTCCAACCTCCGTAGTCTGATTACGGCCCTCCGACCATCGTCGCTCAACTACGATCATTAGACCACCATTGCCCGACTATCATCTTTGGACCATTAATGTTCGACGACGATCCATGAACCACAATCTCGACTACAATCCTCAGACCACTTTCAGCCAACTACAGCCCTTGAACCACTGTCGCAAGACTATGACCCTTCTAACCATTGATGCCAACCAACTATCACCAGACTACAATCTTTCGACCATCATCCTCCGACAATGATGACCACAGTCGCTAAAACTATGACCCTTTGACAACACTCACCCAACTACAACCCTTTGGCCTCCGTCGCTCGACTATCCCTTCAAACTTTGTTGCTCGACTATCCCTCTGACCTTCATTGCCCAAATATTCCTCCAACCACCATCACAAAATATGGTCCTTAGGCCACTTGTCAAACCACAATTCATCGATTATAATGTTCGGATCATTATAACATGGTTGCTCCGCCTACTGATTGCATCACCATCACTAATAACGTCAATACAAACGATCACTGCACGTTGTCGACATCAACACTAACTCCTAATTTCAACACTTAGAATTTATGATGGATTCGTGTCAAAGGCTTTTTCAACCAACTAATGTTTTATTTACAATAAATCAATATTTTCCCTCTCATGAAGAGCTTCACTTTTAATCAAATATAAATACTAGTGAAATCATTTTAACTAAATAAAACCCTATGCTTTTTTCCTTTTGTAGTATTTTTCACATTAAAAATATGACATCTATTATAATTATTGCATTCCTCTCTTATCCTCCATATGTATTGAATTTTCATACAAAAGATGTTTTTGGCACGCTATAATGATAAAGGCTTTTTTTTTTTATGATACATAAGACATTATGAAAACTATATATATATCCTGTTCTTTGTCATATATTTTGATTATATATTTTTTAAAATTATGTGGGCAGTTATTCTCGTCTTTCCTATATACATATAAATATACAAATGAATTATTAATATCAATTATTAAAAATTTTAATTTTCAACATCAAATGCTATTAGTATTATACATTAAAATGTTAAAAAGTACCAATTATCTGCTAAAGGCTGCCATTTGTAGAAACTAGTCCATGAGTTATTCTTTTATTTTTTGATATAGAAAAAACTTAAAGCTATCATATGTAACATAATAATTTTCTTCTTAATTACATCGCAATCATTAATCAAACATCAATAAGTTATTCTTCAAATCAAACACAGCATGCTGATTTACACTTGAAAATCCATAAATGAAACATGCAACAACATAAATAACTATAGAAACTGCAAATTATTTCATGTAAAGTTCCCAGTAGCAATCCCAAGTAGAAGAGTCTATGGTTCATCATTGCATGTTCAACTTTGAAAGACTACTTAATAATCTTCCTCAACTAAAAAGACTACCCCATCGTTCTTATGGAAGTCATGTGTTGTATGATCAACTATCTGCAGCAAAGCAATTGATGAATAAAATGTAAGATTCAGAGAAAAAATCTATCATATGAATACATATAACAGTGTATTTAAGGGAGTGATTATTTTGTGCGGACGCCGATGCAGTTTGATGTCCAGAGACCAACCAGAATGCGCCACGTCAACAGTACCGAGCCGCAGTACCGATCAATACAAAGCAGGGGGTGATATGATGCATTCTGGTTGGTCTCTGGACGACATTCGACATCCGCAACGAATAATTTCACGTATTTATTTATTTATTTAAGACATCTATATATTCTTCATATCAAAAAAAAAAAAAGTTAAGATCCTTGTATCATTATACCTTAAAATGCAAATAGGGATTAGTAGAAAAATAAAAAAATTACAGATAATATAAAGTTCTTGTTTTGTGGAATTTCCTCTCCCAGAATAATAGAAATTGGAAGTTTGGCAAGCATAACTGTAGACCTGAACAACCAGTTAGGAAATATGGGGCAAGTTTTGGCAAGTTTATTTTACAAGCCAAGCCCATTAAGATATTTTAGCATGCAACTAGTAATTTCATCACAAAAACTGTGGGACGAAAAGGAGAAAGACCAATACATAAAATTAGAGAACAATGCAAGGCTGTTCAGTTTAAATTCCTCAATAATTTTGCTGGCCGGTTAACCTGAGAGGAGATACAGATGAAGATGGACCAAATCCTAAAACTATACAGACGGGTGCGATCCTTTTGATAGTCAGGAAAACAATGAGTATTTAAGAAAGGACAAAAGGAACTGCAAAGGAACATATAAGGTAACAACTATGCCTTAAGAATAAAAGGATAAAGATACTGAGCATGCTTAAGCTAGATATACAAAACTCCATGGAAAATCCATAAAAACAAGTAGCCAAGATGCAAGACAAAGAAAAGAAGGTTAAACAGGACAACCCAAGGTTAAAGAATTATTGCACTCATCGCTCCTTATTTTACAGTGAAAGCAGTTTTTCTACTACTCCCATATATAACTACTTTTAATTAAATTTCATTGATATATATATCTAAGAAAATTGCAGGATTTTCTCTAAAAACAAGCATTTCCATATAGCATGTCCTTAATTTCTAGTTGCATAGTGCATACTAGATGTTTTAGCTCTAGAAAATAAAATTTTCAGCAAAGAGTGATATAATTATATTTTATCATTATAATATTTTTAGCATCTATAACTAGTTCAAGGAAAAGGCAATTGAAGAACTTTTAACACCCATTGAGGCTTAGGGTGGGTGGTCGGCGAGCACGGCAGGGAACCCACCATCCTAGGTTCGAATCCCCTCTACTATGGCCTCGCCTCTTCAGTGGGGCAAAGCAAGTGTGGGCCCGATGTAGGTGGGTGGCCTTGCTATGTTCCGCCGAGTGATTAGTTACACCGTCAAGTGCTCCCTTAGGAGTGGCAGTGGGTAGATACCCCCATTCCAAAAAAAAAAAATTTAACGGATGGCGGAGGGACTAAGGGGGCAAAATTCGTACAGGGAAATTTCCTATAGATATGTAGGGATGCTTTGATGGCTGCAGCATCAACACTTTAAGATAAATCTCTCCCATTGTTAATACTTGTATTCGCCTAAATCTCTAGTTTTCTTAGGGGCTTGCCTAGAAATGCAAACATGACAATCATTTAAAAGTTCCCTATAAAATTACTTAATGAAATTCAAAGATTTGAGGGCAAGCAGCAAAAAAGATCTTTACCAGTTAAGCAAATAGTTAATATTAATTTTCAAGGCATTTTAATAAATGATCATTTGGAGGTCAACAACTTTGCTTTGATATAAAAGATTCAACGGCTTAACCATTGTAATCAGTTACAAAGACAACAGGCATGCAAAGGAAGGATTGTGCTTTGCTGGAAATGATTAAACGAATTTCATCAGCAAGGCCTAGTTAGTTTTGCAAACAATATCAATGAATTTTTTAATCAGTCTCGATCAGATAGAACAAAAAAAAGGTAGGATAGAAATTGGAAATTAAAATGAAGATTAAAGATGCTCACGTTCGTGTCACTTAGCTCTAAATTGTAGAAATCCATTGTTTTGCTCTTGAACAACGGTCCTGCATGCCAAGTTCCTCGATTCAGCTTCAAAAATTTGGTACCGGTTACGCGGAACATGTACACATCATCTGGGTGAGGTGGTACATAGTTATGGCCACATTTTGATTGTACGGGTGTCTTCAGAATGCCATCATTTAATTCAGCTCCTTCTTCCAGAATTGAAGACTTGGCCACCCCAAGGAACCATTCTTCACCACTAGCAGAACCAAGGCACTGGGTCACGCTAGCATGATGAGTAATCGTAGAGAACTTTAGTTTTTGATCTTCTAGATGCATGATATAGAACCTGCAAAAAAATGTGAACAAGAACTTATCAAACAAGGGTACTCAAAGTTTTCAATTCAATGCATGGGATGTATATTCCCTGACGGTCTGGAGAAACTAGCATGCAGATTTCTTTTCATTAATCCGAGATCCAGATTCGGGCTTCCATGATCATTCATAATTAGGCAAATTTTGTACATTTTACCCTATGTATGCTGAACATGGTTAAAAAAACGTGGAGACATCAAGTATATCTGTATATTCAAAAAAAAAATGAATGGCACCAGAAATGAATAATCCACTTTTTTATCATAAAACTGGAAGAATGGCTAGGTGTAATAATATGCAATATGATGACAGAAAGGATGGGATCATTGGTACATGCAATAAGCTAGAAGCATATAAGTAGAGTTAATGTCATAGAGGTATCTGAGGGCTATGAAAGTACTCATGAGATCGAGGAGACAAAATTCATTACATCACAAAGATTTCATAGACAAATTATTTGATTTCTCATTGATTTTCCAAGACAACTTATGCCATCGATTTTCCATAGGCATGTGAGTTCTTGAAAGAGCTGCTAAAGCTGATAAATTTATTTAAAACTTCTTGGCTTGACTACAATTTCAAGGACTTGTTAAACCATCATATATATGCATTAATTACGTCGCTATGGTTCACGGGTCAATATGGCATCTCAACCCTTAGGCTTGTGAGTTCTAGAACCTATGGCTTATTGAACTGGTGAGAGGATGGCTTTGTATTTGTTGATATATATATATATATATACACACACTAGCGTTCACCAAAACAAAATTTTCTCAAATAAAATAGATATAGATCCAATATAAAATTAATTTATGACATGATATATGATTTATATTTAAGTATTTATGAATATTACATGCAATATTTATATATTTATATATGATTTATATATAATCAATATGCATATAAACTTGTATTAGTCTTCATAAATAATAGTTTGAAGTGTGTCAGACATAAAGAAAAAAAGTGAGTTAATGCGCTCAAATAAAACAAATATAGCTCAGCAAATACAACACAAAATAATTAAATTTTAAAAAAATAATATTATATATCTATATATTACAAATAGTTTTTTTTTAAAGCAAGAAAAATAAAGAAAAAAAGTGTAATTAAACTGTCATGAAATGCATGAAAAAGAATATTAGAACTAAATATGAATAAATATATAGATATTTTAGGGCAAGTTAGCACAAAAGAGTTTTTTAGGGGGGGCAAAAAAATTTTTGAGGGGCAAAATTTTTTTTTTACTCACCTATAAATTTTTTTTACTATAAAATTTTTTTACTCCTATAAAAAAAAATTTTTTTTGAGGGGGGGCAATTGCCCCCCTTTATGCAACATGTGGTTCCGCCACTGGCCATGCATATTATTATAAAGCTAACAACTTGTAAATAAAAGAGCAATCAGAATACTACGCTTGTGATAATATTCTTTAAATGTATAGAAATATATCTAACATTTAACACCATCACCATCCTGTACAAGTTGTCTACTTATTTTTTATTTGTCATACAATACTTCGGTGCTGTCTTTGCTATTGATTAGAATAGCCAAAGATTTTCCATAAAACTTAAACCTAAATTAGGTTGCCACTTCTCACTAACCTTTACAGCTCAGTAGTCAATTACTTAAATTTTTATTGCTTCTTTCCATCAGCATTTACTTGCCCATATAATCTTGCACCTTTCAGAAGATCTTACAGGAACACCTATATGATGCTTGTTTATAACCTTGTCCTTTCTAATTCATCATTAACTTGAAATTCACTTACATACCTTGTCCTATATGATGCTTTGCCATTTTGTAAATGTTAGAATTCATTTTGTAAACGTTAGAATTCATAGAATTTGAGAAGGGTAAAAATACCTTTTACTTATTATACAAAATTATCCCTATTTACAGATCTATACAATATGTCTTAATAAAGAAATAAATAACTTCTGATTGATACATAATTGCCTCAATATAATCCTTCCTAATTCAGCTATCCAAATATAGAAGGATATTGGCGTGATCTAGGTGTGTCTCCCACTGATTCTCATCCTGACCGTGGGATCAAATGCCAAGGGATGATTGAGATTTTGACACTCCCCCTCAAGCTAGAGAATATATATCTTTCATTCCCAGCTTGGAATTAGTTGCACAGATGTAGAGCTAACAAGTCCCTTGGTACACCATACAGTCCTCTATTTGGTTAAATTTGGTTAAAACTTTGGGAGGAATTAGCTTCAGACATTGTGACAATGACAAATGATAGCGATGAAGGCTATGTTGAGCAGGGCAGCAATGAAGGAAGCATTACTTATAGATGGGATAACAACCACAAGAGAAAGCCGACAATGAAGGCCAGTGATGGGAACCTATCCTCAAAATTCCGACAATGAAGGCCAGTTGAAAGATCAATATTCCTTAGAATTTTGGCAATGAAGGACAGTTGTGGAAACCTTGTATTCCTCATATTTCCGACAATGAAGGCCTCCCGAAAAAACAATTTTTCTGATTGACAATAAAGGTCGATTTTTTTTTTTTGATAAATAGATCGAACCTCTCGGTTTAATAAACCGAATCGAGCTGAGCTGAACCGGACCAATCTGAATCGAAATGAGTCTTAAAGAGGCTCGAATCGAGCATGTGAGCAACAGCGAGTAGAGATTCGTCTCCTTGAGTTAACAAGAACAAGGTATCGAACCGAGTCTTGAAGAGGCTCGGATCGAGCAGGCGAGCAGCAACGAGTAGAGCTTATGTCTCCTTCCGCAAGAGGGTAAGGATTTCGTCTCTTTCGTCACGCGACTAGGGAACTAAGGATTTTTCTGTAGTCTTTTACGGAGAGTTGCGGTCATGTGGAAGCTCTGACGAAACCAGGCGGCGTCAGCGTACAAGTTTCAGCGGCAATGAAGGCCGGATTGAACCTCATCAACGACGCTCTGTTCGACTACACGCCGGTTCTTTGGCTCCTTCGTTGTTGTTTGACTATCCTCATTCGACGTCTCTACCGTTCGGCTTCGTGTGCTTCACAGGAGGCGCTTCTTCGACTCCTTTTGTGTTGTTCGTTTACGCCCGCTCAAGTTCGGACCCTGTTGTCAATGCCGGTGTTTAGCAGAATCGGAGCTTCCGTCTGCGGCAGCAAATGGCATGATCGAGGGCTTCGTCCATGGTTGCACTGGTGGCTTGAAAAGTCCGTAGCTTCTTGCAGAGTCAGAAGCTTGGAACATTTAGCAATGAAGGCCGCCTGATTTCCTTTGGCTCTGATACCATGTTAGAATTCATAGAATTTGATAAGGGTAAAAATAGATTCTACTTATTATACAAAATTACCCCTATTTATAGATCTATATAAGATGTCTTAATAAAGAAATAAATAACATCTAATTGATACATAATTGCCTCAATATAATCCTTCCTAATTCAGCTACCCAAATATAGAAGGATATTGGCGTGATCTAGGTGTGTCTCCCACGGATTCTCATCCTGACTGTGGGATCAAGTGCCAAGGGATGACTGAGATTTTGACAGTAAAATCTTCCTTTAGAATGTGAAACGTATACCTAACCAAAGAAAACACACACTATCAGAGTTATGAATTGTTGCACCCTTTAACATTATAAGATCATTTCTATTTAAAAAGATATTGTTTTGCCTAATGATGTAATAGGGTAATGCATGGCCTTGTGCAATTCAGGACATTTGGGTACTTAGTTGCTACGAACTGTGTCTACTCCTATGAGAATATGATACAGTAAGTTTATAGGCCTTGAAACCCAAGCTAGAAAAATATGGCAGACTGCATAAATAGGAGCCAAAAACATCCATTGCCAGAGTGTTAAACTAATCTCCCATGAGAATGCTTATAAAATCTAAAAACCGTAAACCTATTGGATGGCTAATTTCTTGCTTGGAATCTCAATAGAACATATGCTAAAAGTTGTTCAAATTCTCAAATAATGTTACAATTGAGAGCACGTGATCTATAATAATCAAAAGTGAGCATAAATTACAATTGAGAGCATATGATATTCATAATTTACTTGCACATCACATATAATTTGCCTATCCATCAAGAAACAGGGTTTTCATTTAATAATCAAAAGTAGCTGCATATACAAAACAAAAAATATAATCTAGTTTTAATATTAAACTATTATTGCTCAAGTAAATTCAAACTAAAAATTTCATAAAATAAAGCCATAAGATAAAAGATTGAATAAAAAATTAATTGCGGATGAAATAGAAGATAAAATATGATTAATTGACAAAAAAAATTTTCAGCAGAATTAACTTCAAACAAAGATCATGGGGACTGTAATTAAGAGCATATCATATTCAATGTCAGAAGAGTGTGTTTGAAGCATGCGATCATAAGATATCTGTGACACTCTGTTGAGTTTAAAATTAAATTTGTAGATTTCGTCTACTAAATTCTCTATTTTCTTTATAATAGCATTCAATCTCCAACACAATTAGAAGCTAGTTATGAAGTTGGAGAAAGAACAGTAGTAAAGTATCTAGTGCAGAATAAAGATAAACAGATATTATAGCTCTCTAATTACATGCAAGAAAGAACATAAGTTTCAAAACCCACGAGCAAGATAAGAACAGAGAAAAATAGATAAGAAATGCAAAACAAAAAAATATTTATTGTATTAATACAACGGATTAACGAGTCATAGTGCTCTTTAATAAGTTGTACATTCGAAGAAGAAAATTTAAAATAAAAGTTAAGATGAAGTTCATTTTATATAAGAAAATGATGATGATTTGATCTGAATAATGTGCCAAAAAATCATAGCTTGTTTATTTTATAACTAATTATCACAACAAATGAAAATATGTGAAATGCAATATGCAATTCTCTTAACAAAACAGCTAAGAAATCTTCTCCTCCATCCCCATCCATTAACATAATGAAAACTTCTCCATGGTAAGTGACAAAGTTTAAAGTAAGAAATAGTAGTGAATTAAATTATCAAAATAAAT